TTAATATTAATTAGTCGGCGAAGAAATCAACTGAAGAATATGAAGTAAACATTGAGTACAAGGAGGACAAAAGTACCCATCCGAACATGTCTCTGTGATAGCGGGACTGCTACTGCCGAGTTACTCAATTTTAATGATGAACACAAGATACTCTTTTTTTGTTTTTAAACTGACAGTAGATAGCCGGAGAACCCACGAGCTATTTAGCCTCCCGTACCACATCATAGGGTATAAGAAAATTCTTTATTATGAGTGAAATATTCACTCTTAAACAATAAGAGTGACAGATCTGGATTCTGCAAACAATTTGCAATCGAATGAAAAAAAAAAAAAAAATTGAAAAAAAAAAATTTGTCGGCTAGATTCATGGACTANATCTTGATTAATTAATTAAAAAAGACTCATTGACTCTTAAACGTTAAAAAGGGGTGTACAATAACCTGCTAACGAATTACAAACGATTCGATAGGGTCATTTGTTTGAAAATAGTTTTTTGTCGGCTAATAGTATACTGCTAGGTCCTGAAGATCACAAGATATGATAAAGATCTCCTGACAGACCTTACATTGCCAACAATACAACTACTGCCATCTGTTCACTTTCTGGGTAATCATAAAACCCCATCAATGTCAACCAACCTCCTCCGTCGGTCTCAACAAGTAGCTAGAATTTACCATATGTCTCTTAAAATTACAACCTGTCCAGGGCAGGTGCACTTACCACAGCAATACTCTATAACAGTCCCTTACCATATTCAGTCTCTGTAAAAAATTGAGAAAGCCGTCAGTACTCTTCAGATTTTTGAATGACGTGACATCGAATCGTCTCGAAATTCCTACTTTAATCTTGAAGACCCCACGATCGATAAAGACACGATGGAGCTATTGCTACTACTTTCAAAAGAGAGTTACCTTGGGGCACAACCATTCCTCGAGTTTACCCGAACATCCCCGAATAGAGTTGAAATCGTTCGATGGCAGTACTGCTTTTGTAGTCATCAAACTGTCTTGGTGGAGGGCGAGTTTCACCAACGGAGGTGTTCGATATCGGCGAGAAGAGTGGGGTATATCTCACTCACACACGTTCTACCCAGTATGAGACCTCGGGTGAAATACTAACCATGTTGTCTCGGCGGTCGGTCAATTGAATTCGGATTTTTGGTCGCTGTATAATTTCGATTGAACCATAATGACATTTTGCTACTATCACTCAGGTGACACGTGAAACTGTGAAAAACGTCTTTTAAAACATTGAACTTCTCATTGACTTTAGAAAATCTGCAAATGTAATTGAATTTTGCAACCTCTAATTCGTGATTTCCCTCATTGATATCTCGGTCAAAGTGAGAAACGTCAAATGAGATCGTGAACTAATGCTGGACCAGCTGCAATTTCCAGTGTTTAGTACTGTTGTATATTTGGAATTACGAGATTATTTGTTGTCTTAGAGTATAATCGCATGGTCCATTTCACCTCCTTCATTGAACGTAATTTGATTAACGAATTAAAAACATAAAAAAACATAAATGTCATGATGAAGGAGCTGGAACACAGTGAGGCCCCGGGCACCCGTACGCTCAAGTCTCTCCTTAAAAAACCTGGCCAGAGTAAACAGCGCACACACAAGAATCGCGTTGTAATTAACGAAAAATTGAATGAATTCTTTGCTGCTGATTACATAATCCTCATCAAAGAAGAGTGTTGTGCAGATTATGAAGAAGAGTGTGACTGTTGTTGTCAAGAGACTGAACTGATACGAGTGGGTAATTGCAAAGAGTGTAGAGCTGAATTGTCGAGGCATTTGGCAAGTGGAATTGATCCATATTATGGCATGAATAGACATGGACATATTGCTACTGATGATAATAATCGTGAAAAAAGTATTAATAGTGAAGAATCGCAGTATGAGGATGAGGAGGAAGAGGAGTATGAAGAAGAAATTGGTGATTATGAAGAGGAGGCTGACTCCTCGGAGGAGCCGGTAGTGGGAGAGTGTGGTGATAAAACACCTAGTAATTCACAGTCTCAGCAACAGGAAACTCTAAGTCCACCTGAGGGTTATAAGGATGTCTGCGACGAGGATAAACCCTACGAGGTGTTGGGCGATGAACAAATGTGTCTGGGAGCTATCTGCGGTGAGTGCAATTATCAACAGCGCGCCTTAGGTAAGTCGCCCGGTTCCTCAGGTTACTCTATGCTATTGGTTCTCCTTTGAATGGAAGGGGTCCCTCCTGTTGTGATGTATGTTTAGATTACAGGTATCGGAGAAGGGGAGACTGTAGATTATGGTAGGAAGTTCGGAGTTTCCGTCAGTTCATGAGGTATAATTGAGGGAAGAAGGAGAGTGAAAGAAGTGAGAAGTAGGGAGAAGTTCACTTGGTACAGGTGTTACTGGGGGACTCATTTCATACTTAAAGTGGGGAGGAATTTGGTCATTAAGAGAAGACCGTGGTGAAAACTAGAACTTGTCGAGTATTGAACAGATGACTGTTAAGGTTTATAATACAACGTATCAGTGCGAAAAAGGTATGAAAAATTATAGCTCCGAGATCTTTGAAGTTTGCAAGAGGTCCAAACAAGTAAAAATGTATCAAAGTCTACAAACACGTTGAAGTGCAGCAATCTTCACCTGATTTAGCTAAAAATTGAGTTACGCATAATTCAAATATGCACAAAAAAATATCACTACGAACAAATAAACTACGAGGATCATCTCTAGAACGCCCGACGATTCATGAGCGAAATATTTTGTTCCTATTTAAACTAGATATTTACCTACTAATTATAACATTCTTGAAGGTGTGGAAGCTATCATATCTCCACTTAGGTGATGCTTTTAGTTTAGATACTACCACGCAACTCGAATTTCCCTTCACCGTCCAGCAATTGGCCCATTCACCCTACCTGAGTAGTTAAATTGTTGCTTTGGCGCCGCATCTGGCAACTTTGAGTGCAGATTTTCCTTTTCTCTTCGACAAAGTGACTCTTTTCAAGAAAAATATGTAAAAATCCAGTTGAGACTTTCCTCCGTGCTATCCGGAAATGAATAATGATAATTCTAACGACAAACACATGAACTATTTGTTGAAACTTTTGGAAGAAGGAAATGAATTAAAAAGAAAAGAAAATATGAAAAAAATATTTTTGCATAGAATGGAGCGGAGCTCTACTTACCTTTCTAAAGATATTTTACGTAAGAAGAGTCACTTTAACGAAGCGAAAGACAATATCAATAATCAAGATAGGGGCAGGGGGTACAACGCGAAATTTCCAACTTTATTGGTGATCTTAGAACAGTTCCGATGACGTGAGCTTATTGTAATTATTCTCGATCGAAAGAACGGAACCTTTCAGTTGACAATACCTACTCGGACACTCGGTTTGCTCGCTCCGATGGCATCTGGGCTGGATTGGGTGTGACACATTAAGGGTCGAACCAATAATATCCTGACCAATTCCTATATTTCTGTTCATCCAACATCCAATACAGAAATGTCCGTGAGCTTTACCAGACTTCATTCTTTGGTTTCTATACTCAATTTCTTCTTTCTCTTGCACGAACCATATATGTAGGGTTCTCGGATTTTTTTCCCACCGAAAACATTCCCTGGAAAAAATTCCCCCGGAAAAATATCCCCCGTCAAAAATGCCCTTGGAAATAAATTCCCGGAATTAATTTTTCTTATGAATTCAAATGACGATCACACACACACACACTACCAATATCTCTCAATCGGCAAAAATACATGACAAAAAAAATCAAATTTTCCAATTCAATTTTCCTCTATAATCGATGAACCACAATTCAATCACATCAAATCCAAAAATCATCCTCATTTAATCAAATCCTAATTCATGAATGAAATAATATTGACAAACAATCATTCTTCAAAAAATTGTCTGACACACAGAAAACAATCTGCATTCAATACAACTTTCTCAATCATAAATAAATTACGTTACCACAAAAAATAAATAGTCAAGGGAACGAAATAATTTCCTCACATAATTTGAATTAATTTGTTATTCCTAAATTGCATCCATCACAAATAAATCATCAATGGCCTATCAAAATACACATTCAAAGCAGAACCAGATTTGCGGCATTCTTCAAAAAAACATCAAGGTCAGGATCATACTTTTCAACAACCTTCTTTAATCGCTCGTCATAATCCCGATACTTTTTCTTCTTTCAAGGGGATTCAAGCCCCCCTGCTGCTTGATACAACTTCACTTCATCCATACCTTGCTCATCCTTCAATAACTTTATAAATTTCCACAACGAACCATGTGAAACTTGTGCCCTCCCAGCAAAAGCATTATGCCACCCCTCAAGAGCATTAGTGATGCGTACTGTGTCCGTCTTTATTGTCTTTTGGAAAAAATTATTCGGGGAAAAAATTCGGGGAAATGTTTCGGGAGAAAATATTCCGGGGAAATTATTTCGGGGAAATTTTTCCGGGGAATTATTTAGGCGAGGGATTTTTTCCGAGGGAAAACAATCCGTTTACCTTTCTCTTCAACTTATGAGAGTTTCAGACGAAAGTAGAATTTTTATGTTTCATTTGGAAAATTAATTTTGGTTGCATTTTTCGATGCTCCTGAGTGGACAAGTCGGAGATATCTATATATTATTTTGGAAAGCATTCGCTATTCTTAGAAATTGTGCACGGTAATTCTGATTCAATGAAATTTTCATCCAGTTATAGCAAATAGTGTCCACTTTTTACGTTATGTCACGCGCTAAATATTACAGTTTTTTCCATTTGTCGAAGCTGTAAATATGACCTGTGGGGATAAATCACATGTCAATTTGAAGGTCCCGTCGAGGTCTTCAAATTGATACCCCATATCATCCATTGCATCCACCAGATCAATTGTTCTACGCGATAATATAACAATTTTAATGACAAGATTTGCTCGGTTTGTGTTCAAATCTGTAGAAATATATTATGCTCAGTTGAAAATATACTATTAAATTAACGTAAAAATTACCCCGTAATTATTAGATTGAGGATATTTTTCATTAACATATGTAGGTAGCCCGGTGGCTTGACGCAGTGGCCTTTGCAAATTCGTTGCCTCAGATGCGAAAGGTTCCGAGTTCAAATCCCGGCCGGGTAGAATGGTGCGATCTAACCATTTAAAGTGTTGATCATGATCACAGTATACCCTAACTGGATCGAAGCTGTATAAAATAACGATAAAAAAAACATGAGGCTTAAATTCAAAAATTGAATTTCAAAATGATTATGGTAAATTCGGCATGGTTTCAATTTTGTTATAGCTATCGGTCAAGTGAATGAAACTATTCATATACTAGTTCACGGGGTAGTTGATGTTATGCAACAGAAACTTCATGGGAGTAAGAATTGAAAAAATGACATATTGATCGCATGCAACCGGACTAGCGCGCGCAAAGCCCACGTTCCGCCTAGCTAAAACAAACAGGGGTGTGAGCCTATTCGACAGAAGGCATGCGACCGTTTCTTTTGGCGTTATTAGTCTTTTTCTTCTTTTCATTACTACCAATTCCATTGGTAGTAAGCCTCCTAATGAATCCGTTCCTCGTGCCTGTGACAAGCATATGCGTATGCCTGCTACAGATTTCCTCGTGCCTGTGACAGGCATATGCATATGCTTGTCACAGGCACGAGTAGTAGTACTTTGCATAATATAAGGATTTTAATGAAAAATCGGAAAAAGGGGAATATCTCGAACACGTTGTATTAACAGGTATAGATGTTTTGATTGATCTGGGTAGAGGACATCAAGACGAATATTTTGAAAGAAAGAATAAGTGGAATGGTTTGCGAAGGTTTAAAAATATTCAACATAATGAATTTTCAGAAAAAGTTGAATATCCCCGAAACTACTGGTGCGATTGAGCCCTTCTTCAATACAAACCTTTGTTAACATGGGAGGAAGATGCTTTCCAAATTTCAAGTCGATATCTCGATTTTTGCACACGTTAGCCCGCGTAAAAGGATTTTAATGAAAAAACAGAAAAAGGGAAATATCTCGAATACTTTGTATGGACAGGTATATATGTTTTGATTGATCTGGGTAGAGGACATCAAAACGAATATTTTGAGAAAAAATAAGTCTGAATCGGTCCAATAATTTTAAAGATATTCGTGAAAAACCATTTAAAAACGAATTAGCTTTATCTCAAAAACTACTTGACCGATCGGGCTGCAATGGTGCACAGAGTTAGTCCTCATTAAGATCTATGATCTGACAAAATTTCTACTTTTTTTGAATTATTTTGGCCACTTAATTACTCAATTTTCTAAAAATTGGCCATCGGGAAGGTGGCGGTGGACATATTCACATACAGACATGGTCGCCAAACTTCGTATTGTTACGTTTCAGACCATTCTACATCATTTCCAGTGAAAATTAGAAAATTTGAAAATCGGACGATTACAAAGCTTCCATTCGGAAGCAAAAAAAAAAACAAATTTATAAATTTTCAGCCGAATAATGCGAAAACAGTTGAGACAATTTTGCTCAGTATCCAATCAAAATCAAATGATTCTGATCTAATCCAATAATTCTACGGGTCATAAAACATTGTTAAATCATGCGAATTCCAGTTTTGATTTTCTGGTTAATTATACTAACTTCCTTTGGGTCGAGAAGATAAAAATATTTTTCACCTCTGAAACCGAAAATTTCGTCAAAATCAAAGAAAATAACTTTACGTAGCAAAAAACTATGACTGTACCTAATAAAAAACTAAGAGAAAAGTGTTGTGTTTGAGAATTATTAAAATAAATAAATATTTTTAAAATAAGAATAGTCCGGCAAACCGAGTGAACAAAACGCTCGATTCATCAGTCTCAAACGTGGATTCACCCATGGAATGCAGTGATCCATATTCGAAATGCTGCAAAGTCAGCATAAAATTTTCCTCAATCGAGCGTTGACCGAACACTCGATGCCATACAAAATTAGTCTCATTCTAGCAACAACAACGATCATACCAAAGGGCGAACTCCTCGGTATTGTCGAATGCTTGGTCGGTATCAGTTATATTCCTGCCCGACGCTTATTCTTCAAATCGAATATCGGTGATTTTATTGGTTTACGGTTTGTTGGATGAAACGAAGTCATTGTGATGTGCAGTTGATTATCATCTGAACTGAAAATCTAAATTATTACCTAGTTAACTATAGAAAGTTCTCCAAATACTTATTTGAGGAACTTATGAGAATTGTGAAATCAGTGAAATAATATTCATAGTCAAAGATAAGACTACATTTGGATTGCAAGCTGGTTCGTGCAAAACTTCTAATAACATGATTATTCCGGCCTTGATCTCAAATTAATATTGTTTCATACGAAAATCCATTCATAACTCATTTGATCTGTCTCTCACTCTTAAAATTTCAACTGTTCGAATTTATGTATATCGAAACCCCGAAAGATTTGTTATTAAATTCTTTTCTCATTATTGGATTTTCTCTAATTATCTTTGAATTTCATCCTGATCACCTTTTGATTAGTTATTCGATTTGAGA